AGGTGATGGTGGTTGGGGTGCCTTCTTGAAACAATACACTCAATTTAGTATAAGTACCTACAATGCTGTTAGGAAGGGCGTTCCAAGATTTTGAACTAGCAGTGAAGGAACAAGTTACAACTTTTTAATGATGAGACAGGGCAGCAGTAGAGGAGAAAATGAAGCAAATCCTGCACGCCTCATGTGATAGATAAGCTGCCCTATATATCCGAAGATTTGCAGGTCAAGGAACAGCCTGTTCAGCCACATGTACAGCCATGAAAAAAAAAAAAACAGTTTTTAGTGTAATTCAATCTCAAATATAAGGGCAGCCTTTGGCAAGTTTGGGATGTCCTGCAGTCAGGGAGGACAGCTCATTCAAAACTAACTCACTAGCTGACAGAATTATCCAGAACTGTACAACAGTTCCCTGGGCACTTTTTAGACCAAGGCACAAGGCAGAAGACTGTTTTGAACAGTCTTAATGAGTAATAGGATGCTTTGCTATAAATTCAATTAAAGCAGAGATTTTAACAGCATTAATGCAGTAAGAAGTTGAAAAGAAGAAACATACAATGATCTAGGAGAAAAAGAGGATTCAGGACAGACTGATCATACAGGCAGTGGGGCGTCAAATCTGACCTGAAGGGATGGTTTAGAAATGCTTGTGCTGAACTAGGATTAAAACAACAAGCTCTTTTGTCAAGTTGGCTTGCATTGGCTGGTTTGTCGTTAAAAATCCAAGTACTGATTGGCACATTGAGAGTTCCAGTTCCATGCTCGTTATCTTTCAAGAACTAAACATCACCTTGGGGGTTACCATGACCAGAACGTGAACTGGACTAACCATATAAATACTGTACCTATAGCTGCAGGTCAAAGGTGCAGAATCCAAAGTGAAAACTCCCCTCCTGACTCCCAGAAGCCTATCCACTACCAGCAAGGCGAAGTCAGGAACATGATGGAATACTCCCCACAGGCCTGGATGAGCACAGTTCCAACAACACTCAACAACAACATTGCCCTGTCACTATCCAGGGCAATGCAGCCTCCTTGATTGGCTCCACATCTACAAACATTCATTCCCTCTGTCACCAAAACTCAGTAGCAGCAGTATCTATAAGATTCACTGCAAAAATGCATAAAGGTACCTTAGACGGTACATTATACAGCACCTTCCAAATTCATGACCACCACCATATGAAATGATAAGAGCAGGAGATATACAGGAACACCACCTGCAAGACCCCCTCCAGTCCACTCACCATCACGACATGGAAATAAATCGTTGTTCCTTCAGTGCCGCTGACCCAAAATCTATAACTCAGTCCCTCATAATGTGGATCTACCTACACCAAATGGACTACAGTGGCTCAAGAAGGCAACTCACTATCGCCTTCGCTAGAGCAACTAGGGATGAGAAATAAATGCTGGTCTAGCCAGTGGTGCCTAAATCACATGAATAAACTTGATGCCAAGCCAAAGTTCAAGGAAATGAGAACCATTAAAAGTGACAAAGTGTGAAGCTTAATCATACTTTGTACAGTGTTGGGAGATTTTGGCTGTAGTCACGAATGAATATAAATCAGAAGGTTTTAGGATTATTACCAGTTACAGCCAGGAAATTGGGATATTAAACCTATTATCATCAACCATGTATAGACTGAGTGTATTACAGTTGGTTAAGAGTAGAATCTGACTGTTCCTAGTATTACTGTTGTTAATTATCAGTTCGATTTCCGACTTACTGAAAGTATCAAAGTTCCTCCCACCTCTGGTATCCCTCTTGTAACTTTCTTCCCCAATTTTCTCAGCTTACCCTCTTTTCCATGTTCAGTTTCTCGTTTTCACTCACTTGCCGGTGGCCTCCTCATTCTCATACTTGTTGCACAATAGCTGCTGTCAAAAAACCATGACTAAAACGTCTTCATAGAGTCAAAGAGGTAAACAACACAAAAAATGGCTTTTCGGACCATCGAGTCCGTGCAGCCAAAAATAACCACCTAATATTCAAGTCCCATGTTCCAGCATTTGTCTCATATACTTGTGTCCAAGGTACACGAGGCTATGTCTAGATACTTCTTAAAATGTCATGAGGAATCCTGCCTCTACCACACTTACAGGCAGTGATATCCAGATTCCCAGCACTTTGTGGGTTAAAAAGATTTTCCTTGCGTCCCTTCTAAACTCTTGCCCCTTAACAAATCTGTGTCACTGGTCATCGATCCCTCCATTAAAAAGGGGAAAATTTTCTTCCTGTCTACGCCTCTCATAATTTTACACATTTTTCAGATCCCTGGTCATACAACCTCTATACAGCAAATTCAATAATGTTTATGGATGCTACATAATCTATCATATGATTAGACAACCAGAAATATTTCCAATTTGTAGTTGGCAATTCTAATAATTAGCAATATTCACACAATTGATTGAGTGTTCAGCAGCAATCTGTGTACAGCTCTGTATAGGGCAACACCTGCATGAGGACAACGATAAACTTACAAAACGGATAAATAATTGGTAAACAATGTTCAACACGCTTAATTGTGAGGCATTACAAAAAAAAAATCGGAACATGGCAACACAAAATGTACAATGACAAATTATTCTTAAAGAAAAATGATTGCATATACAAAGACAAAATAACCCAATTTCACGCATAATTAAACATAGCGAAAACTGGTACTAGAGAAATTGATAGATCAATGGTGATAACATTAGGCACCAGCAATAGCTACGGTAAAAACCTTTTAGCTTTGTTAAGAGCCAAGGGTCATTTAAATATCGCTTAAACTTGAAGGATCACACAGGACAGATTCAAATGAACTCCTACAGTAGAATCTTAAATTATAGGGGTTATTCAATACCTAACAACATGCAATATTTGCAGATAGAATTTTAGCTAGAAGTTCAGGTGGCATCTGCCTCATTATGCTTAAAGAGATGGGATGCATGTTTTACCAGCCCTTTGCCTGTATACCTAACAGTTTGGTAAAAATCAGAGCTTATTCCCTTCAACTGGGAACATGTTCATATATCTTAATTTGTTTTTGCACAAATGAAGAATCAGTACTAGAGCATCACAGACCCATTAGTTAGACTTTAATCATAGGCAAGATTCTGGAAGAAATCAATAGAGCAGCTCTCTTTGATCACTCAGACAGGGAAAGAGTTATCAATGACAATCTAGAAAGAACGACTTTTCAGATTTATTGGAGACAGGATACCTCACTGTGCCCCATTTCTTAAACCTTACAATGTGCAGTTCCAAGTTTAAGAACACATCAGCAGGGCATCTAGAATCCTTGTGAATGGGGCAGTATATTTCCTTATTGATGTAATTTAATGATTCGATTGAACAAATAAATGGAAGATGATCTAAGGTGGATTTTAAATAATGGCAAATTGTTTGTGTACTGTCATAGCAGTAAGAATTTCAGCCAAAATAAAGCACTGATAATATGTAGAGTACATGTACCTCCATTTCAAACCTTGGTTTATTAATATGCAGCAGTCACTTACTGTGCTAATTTATGAATTTCTATGACTATTATATAATAATGCTTCATATTGGGGCAGAGTAGTTAATTTAGTTTTTTTTATTATTTGGTTGATGACATTTGTTAAAGCAATTTGAGATCTTCCCGCTTCCATATTGCAAATCTCCTAAATTTAAGTGGTGAAGTGAACCTCTGGATTAGTGGTTGTATTCCTGTCCAAATAAGGAGGTGAATTTTTTGAATCTGTTTATAAAACTTTCCGGTTAGCGGAGACATTGAATTCTGGTTTGACATCTGGGAGGACACGTGCACAACTGCTGACTTTGTATAGGTGTTCCCTACCTTCATAGTATGTGATGTGGGTGGCCATAGTACCCTCCTGCCATAAAACAACAATCATCTTAATGGCTGTCATAAAGACAGTGCTGATTACTTTAAGAACATTTCATGTCACAATACTTCAGACTGTTAGTCAGTGAATCCTTACACGACTCTGCACTACTTTCCGTAAGGTATAAATATGCAAAGCTAGCATAACAATTTGAGTATAATTCCATCATTTGAAATTACTGATTATCTTATGGCTGAAATGTGGGATAAGTTTAATTTTGAAAATTAGCATGTTACTTAAGAAGATGAAACATTTATGTAAAATAAGCAACTAAAATTAAAATAATTAAAACATCTTCAATGATCAAATGAATCTAGAGTACTATTTTTAATCCCCCCTTATTATTGTCTGCCTTATTTTTGACATTGAAATTGTTAATTCATAGAATCATACAATCCCTACAGTGTGGAAGCAGACCATTTGGCTCATCGAGTCCACACTGACCCTCCAAAGAGCATCCCACCCAGACCCACCCCTTAGCCTATCTCTGCATATCCCACCCTAGACACTATGGATAATTTAACATAGCCAATCCACCTAACCTGCACATCTAGTAGGAGGAAACCGGAGCATGGGGGAATGTGCAGACTCCACATAGACAGTCACCTGAAGCTGGAATCGAACCTGGGTCCCTAGTGCTGTGAGGCAGCAGTGATAAGCACCATGCTGCCCCTTAAAGAGCATTAGTGAATCAATGGATTCATGGTCATCATTAGACTCTTAATTCCAGAATTCTATTGATTCAGATTCCACCATCTGCTGTGGTAGGATTTGAACCCAGGTCCCCCAGGACATTAACTAGCTCTCTGGATTATCAGTATAGCAATAATACCACTAGGCCATTGCCTCCCTATTAGGGATGCTAACTTTGTTGTCAGTAGCTCTACAAATACTTCACCCAGGCATCTATTCCTCATATGTGTCAACCTAGACAATGATGAGCTCAATTCCATTATCTAGCTTCCATGCATGCGCATGTCTAGCAGCAATTGAATATAGAAATTATGCATAAGGGCCCTAGCTGTTTTCACTCTCATAACTAGCTTGTCCTTCACTTGAAGTATCATATAATGCATTTACATGCCTGAACTATCCCAGCTTGGGGATGATGCTTACAAATGCCTCACCTGTCAAGTTTGGCTGCAAGGGATTTACGTAGTTTTAATTCTTCTGAATACAATTCTTTGTATCTTTCAAGCTCCAACTGTGCAGAATCTTTCAGATTAATGCTGTCTTGTTGTGAAGTTCTAAGCTTACTGAGCTCTAATTCCAGATCTTTTATTCTCTGCTCCAATTGGCTTCTAATTGTGCTTTCATTTGTGGCTCTCAATTGTTCCAAAGCTTCTTGGGAGGCCTGTTGAGTCTTAACAGTAAGAGTGAAACAATTTAATACTGCATTGGAATAAATTAATTTCAAATTATACATTTTTAGAAATGGCTAGATTTCATACCAGGCTATAAATTCAAAGAACTGAAGTTATCAGTCTTGTGGAGAGGCTAGATTACATAAATTAAGCATTTATTTTACAGGTTTGTTGCAAACTTTGAGGCTGGTTTCTGTTGCAAAATGCTTCAACCATTGTACAATAGTTACAATTTGCTTTTTCCTTAGCATTTTGTGTTCATGGCAAGAAGAATTTTGACTTCTTCCTACTACAGTCTGAATTATAACAGTTTTAGGTATGCTGTGAAAGGGGCCTTTTGACTGTTAGTTGTCTCTTGGACAATTTCATTGGAAATTTCATAGGTTGCCTACTACATATTCCTGTTCTCTCCAATAGGCAAAAAATTGTTAGACCATATTGTTAAAACTAATCATACACACAGTGAATTAGAAACAAGTTACTAACATCAATAATCATAGAATTAGATGGAATCATATGCAATTAAAAGTATCTTCCTCAGAACATGATCCTTATATGAGACGCAAAACTAATGCAAGGAGCTGTATTACAGATGAGTTTATTGCAGGCAGGAGACCTATTTTATGCCCATGGACACAGTATTCTTTTACACAATTAAGCATTAAGATTTATTTCACAGCAACCTTTATTTCATTCAGTTCAATTCGCTGAAAAAAAAAGTCAGATTTTGCTGAGTGGTGACTGGATGGTCCCTGATGCTTGTTAAGGACTTTCACTTGCTGAGACATTCACAGATGGTGGAATGAGCAAGCACAGCAGTGTCCTGTACATGCAACTGGAACTTGTATGAACAAGATATGCAACTGTACACTTTGAGTGATCAGACTGCAGAATCATTAATAGCAGCACAGATTCTGATCCAAGAAGGATAAGTTAGGAGTGATTTCAACGTGAAATCCCATACAAAAATAGTCTCACCTGCAAGAATAAATTGACTTCTTCTAACTTCTGTTTGATTTCCTTACGAGCATGTTCCTCTACTTCCCTCTTGTATTGTTCTATGTGACTGTAGTTCATCAAATTAGTTTCAATCTGATGCTTCAGACTGACTACTTCTTCCTCGAGCTGGTGTTTTCTCTTTTCTAGCCGATCTTGGCTTTTCTGTAGAAATTTCATGGATGCAACCTGCGCAGAAAGTTCTTGATTGGTTGATTCCAAATGCCTACCTTTTGCAGCTTCAGTTTCTAATTGCTGGGATAACTCTTCAATCTGAGAGATATGGAGAACTTAGGTTACAAATAGCTTAAGAATCTCCTTCATGACATTTATGAAAAACTTGATAGCTCCAAATTTATGTACTTATACATGCAAGTCACTTCTTAATATCCCTGAATAATTTTAGATTAGTTAGAGATATGAACAGTGACTCAGTTTAATATATCTAGATGTAGACACTGGATGCATAGGTTGCAGTACTATGCAGGATTCTGCTTCTGGAAGGTACTGCTTCTGTTAACAGATTGCACTAAAAATCTGGATAAAGGGCCACATAGGGAATGCTATCCAAATTCATAGACATTCCAAAATAGGCCCCATAGTAAATAATTCTGAGGATGCAAATGAGCTGCAGTTTGTTTTTGTAATGTTAATTTAGGGATAAATGCTGGCAAAGGCACTCTAGATATTGCTCCAGAGATGGTAGGAACTGCCGATGCTGGAGAATCTGAGATAACAAGGTGTAGAGCTGGATGAACACAGCAGGCCAAGCAGCATCAGAGGAGCAGGAAAGCTTACGTTTCGGGTCTGGACCCTTCT